ACACGGAAGTGACGCAAATGGTTTTGCAAACTCGGTATTAGATAGGAATATCTTTCACATACTCTTACCCATCGAAGATATTGTGCAATTGTATATGAACACCGAGAGCCTTTGCCCACAAAACTTTTGTTATTCCGAAAATGTCAGACGAACAGTTCCCTGAAGGAAGAAGAGGAACAGGAGTCGTCCATACAGCTTCGTATAACATTCTCGATATTCATCTGTGTGTCTGATACCTGGTTTGCACCACACAATGCGTCTGAGGAAGGGGTCAGCGATGCGGTGGTAGCTTGCTCACAGGAAGCTTATATTGATCTAACTGTGAGTTGGACTATGATATATACCTTTGTCCTCTGATAGAAGCTTACAAGAGCGTGCCACACAACAGGGAATAATGCAACAGTACTCTTACGGTGTGATATGAGCACACACACACACATGAACACACACATACACACACACACACACATACACACACACACACACACACACACACACACACACACACACACACACACACACACACACACACACACACACACACACACAATAGATGAGTTCATATGCCCTCAGTACGGTTTCAGACAACAGAAGACATTAATTATGAGGTATAGATCGTATTCCGTTTACGATCTTATCTTAAAAGTGTGATAGGGATGACCAGCGGCTACCTATATAAACAAGCCATCACAACACCCCTGACCCGGGTAACCCTACAAGCACAGCAGTCTAGGTGGTGGACCAAGACCCAGGACAGGGTGCTGGGAGGCGAGGCTCTGGGGACATCGAGGCACGAGGAACCCCTTTGTGAATCTGGTTGGCTAATTGTGTTGGGCTGGCTAACATTTTGTGGACATTTTTCCAGGAATGTGGTATCTGAAATGGGATAGTAGTAGTAGAGAGTATGCTGTTTGATAGCTAAATCTAAAGAATAGAGCAGGAAGAGAGAAAGCGGAACAGAATCGTAAACAGCAGAGGCTCTTCATCAGAGATAATGAAGGACTCATCGCGTGACTCCTAACGATTTTCGACCCACAGCAGAAGTCCAGCGGTTGAGCTTGCTAAGACCCTCTGCAGCCTAATGAAACCCATTAAGCTTCCCTGTTAAATCCTTCTCGTTAAACCCTTTATATACCCTTGCCCCTATGCATGAATTCCTTGTGTCTCTCCCTCCCTCCCACCTCCCCTACTATATTTACAGGTTCCTGGCCTCGCCCTCAGCTCTCGTCTGGTGACTCGCCCCCATCAGCAGTCCCTAGGTCTTCGATTCCCAGCTGACCAACACGGACAGGACATTTAGATTCTATGTACACCTAGTATGTATAACATTGGGATGCGCTTAAATAATAATAATAATAATGAAAAATGTGTCATAGCCTGTTTTGTGGTTTTTTGTACGCATGTAACAATAATGCTGTTGCTTATTACAATACAATAATAAAGATGAAACAATGTACACACATTCTATAACAAAGGTATTTTTTGTTTCCTCTTCTTTGTTTATTGAATTGGCTTACTCGCCTTCAGCCAACTGTGAATGTCAGGTGAGCAACGTTTCAACCACTTGTGCCCTCTTCTGGCAAACTAGAAACCCGGCAGACTCAAGAAACCCTTCTTTGTTTCTGCTACAGGCTCTTGAAACCGAAACGTATTGAATATATTATGATGTTTGCTTCTTTTCTATTTGCAAATTAAAAAGAGAGAGAAAAACATCACTGTTCACTTTCTTTAAATTATTGAACAACACCTAAAGAGCGTATGGAGTGCACGAAAATCATCCACGGATGTCAATGAGTCATCAGCTTGGTGTAATCAAGCTGAAAACATCTAATGGTTGACGAGAAGAGCTTCCCTGAGCTTTACCGTGATATTCCCGTATATTGGAACTGTGTAAGGCTCAAAATAGCTTCATTCTGTCTCGTATTTGAAGACCTCTACTTGCTCCAAGCTGAGGGGGGAGGGAGAGTCGGCTACATGTACTATCAAGCGAACATTAGAAAACTCTTAGACTTTTTACAAGGAGTATTGTCAGTGCAGTATGTTGTGTACACGGTCCTACGAAACACACGTTGTGCAGTCAGCCGCATGTAAGTACAAATTATTTGGCATAACATACGATGATTAAAAGGTCCATTATTACCCTTTTTTATTTTTACATTAGCCTAGCTTACGCATAGCCATTGAAAACACACATGGAGAGGAAAAAGATAGAGAAAGAGAGATAGAAAGAATGAAAACGAAAAATCCTACACGTATCTGTTACTGAAAAGTTCACAAAGGACATTTATAAAATTACTTACAATTTTAAACATCTATGGATACACTTTTTTGTAGAACACTGACACCATGATGGATACATCAGTACACAGCACTTTTTTCCAGGGTTACGTGTGCACGGTTTCTTAAAACTTGTGATTTATATATATATATATATTAATATATATATATAATATATATATATATATATATATATATAATATATATATATATATATATATATATATATATATATATATATATATATATATATATATATATATATATATAATATATATATATATATATATATATATATATATATATTGTAATACCTTATTAATGTGCCCATGGTCTTTGCAGCACAATATTCCTAAAGTGTTTACAACCCTTCGTGAAGCTTTCACAGTCTGAGATAATACGTATTTTGATAGGTATTCCGTGTTCGTGAAGCCTTTATTGAAGCGTTCTTGAATCACTTGGTATGAGTCTCTTGGATGTTTTTTCATGTAACAGTGAGGTTCGTGAAGTCCTTGGTGAGCAATTTATGACTCACCTTGTTGTATATGAGTCTCTTGAATGATCTCCATGAATACTGGGAAATCTTGAAACATTCACTCTTCATCAACCAATTGATTTACTATTCATGAAGAAGCTATTTAGTGTTCATGAAACACTTGATACTTATAAAGCAGTTAAGAGTGGTGGTTATAATTAATCACTATATGTTCACGAAAATCTTGGTGGTCAAGAAACACTGTTTTGGCATTCATGATGCAGTTCCTGTTTGATGTGGTGTCGACGAGTCACTAAGTGTTCCCAAACGTCCAATTGTCTGTGACTTAATGCCCATGAAACACCTCATTTGGAGTTCATATATAACTCTGGAAAACCTTCTTGGTACAGGACTTTTTTCTTAAACCCTTGAGGCACTCAGAGGTCTGGAAAGTTATTTATATTTACCACAAAATATGATTAAAAGTCAAAATAACGTCAGTTCGGTTGTTAGTGTAATTTTTCGCTTGCTTTTGTGCACCTAGCAAAAGTGTTTATACAGTCTCACAGCCTATCTGTCAAACATCTGAAACAGCAACTGGTAGTATTGTATATAATAGGTATGGTGCTAGTGTTAATGGAAGAGGCACAATAACTTGGTGTTAGAAGTCGAGAGGGGAGGAACCGGAGGGTCTCCAAGATTACGTGCTAAGGCCTCACTTCCCCGAAGACAATAATGGACTCCCTCAATCTGTTATCCAAAGAGCAGAGTGTTAAGAACTTCTTTTACACACGAAGAATTTCTACAAATAAAATCCTACGCTGCTCCAAGGTATTAAAACGTGTTACAGAATGTGTCACATTCTTTACTGGGAGAGATGCTATTATTTTCTTACAGTAACATTTGTCCAGGTAGGTGTGTCTTGTGGCCTTGTGTTCTTGAGTATACTCACCTCAAGAAGAACACACGCCACAGTGCAATTTAGTAGTACGAAACAATCACCACGGTATGTGTTTCTGCAGGAACCTTTGTATGTTAAATATGTTACATGAACAACATTCGATTTGATGTATAAGTTTCGTGAAGAACATTGACAGTAATTTAGGGGTTTCAGGGAGAACATTCACTGTGAAGTAAGTGTTGGTAATAAAGATGAATCCTCAAGTCACAATTGCTCTCTAAGTGTCGACCAGTCTGGTATTTACTGAAGAATGAATCTATCCATGACAAGTGTTTCCCGAGGGTCAGGGGCCTAGTAGTGACATCCTCGTCACATATACTGAAGAAACTGACATCTCGTTGGTAGTCAGCTGTCCTGGGGGTCACTCCCACTTGAGGAAACATTTGCGAAGGCTCATCTCCATCAAAAATAAGCGCCCTCAAACCTTTCTTCAAGGAAAGTGCAATGGCAGAAGACAGTGCTATTGTAACTCTGACTTATTCATATACAACCTTGATTATTACAACCTGTAACTTGAAGAGAAATGCTACTATCCCTAAGGAACGTTAGTAACTGTGGTACTCTCCAAGAGAAAAGTTAATTTCTTAAGCTTATTTGGAAATAAAATGTCTAGTAAACGTTATTAAACATCACAACAGTAACCCGTCTGCGTATCCAACAAGGCAGCAATAACCTCAAAGAGTAGACAAGAAAGAGTAACAGACAGCAATAGAAAGAACAAGAAGTGAAACAGGAAAGATTGACAGTCGTGGGACGAGTAGAAACAAAATTGAGAAGTAAAAGTATTCGCCATGAGCTAACCCTCGGGCGACGCCATGCCCAACACTCCTCCCAGGGTAGGTCTCGTATGTGACCCTTCAGAAATGGTTGAGTTCCTGTTCCCGGCAAGGAGAATAAGAAGCACTGATGTGTGGCGTTCGATGACCGAATATCTCACAAGTTAATTGGGGTCTGCGATCATGCAAGTCCCACATGAGTCACGTGCTAGGGTGTGGACTCCCAAGAGAGTTTTTAAAGTATTCAGCACGTGCAGTAAGACTTCTTCTCAACTTGTGAAATTCTGAATACAGAACCCTGTTCTGTAACCTTTATCGGAGGAATGTCAATAAAGGTTAGTGTTTCCCTAATTTTTTAAGAGTGATTAATACTTTGAGAGTTCAACCTACAAGATTTTTGTGAGGGAGATCTCATAATGTCTACGATTTCGCCACACGAGTTTCAGGGTCCCATGTCAATCGTCACATGTGTATAGTTTAAAATCTTCTGTAATATTAAAAAACTGTTAAATTACAGCAACTTTCTTTTATTTCGTGAGAGTATGAGTCAAAATTGGCCTCAATTAGGAATTGTCAGTATTTGTGATCAACGTAACCAATACTAGTTACACGATAAAACAAATTTCATTATTTTTCCCATTCAATAACTTATAATTATCAACATAACGTCACAATTTTTTTTCATAACAGTACCTAAATACATTATATATTATGCAACAGCTGGACATGTCTCATAGATGGTGAAAAATACGAAGGGCAAATTAACCCCAAATGAAGCAAAACGAATTGCTGAACTGTACCCAAAGAAATCATCACAATCTACAAAATATTGAACATTAGACTAAAATAATTAAAAAAAAATCAACCATGAAATCATGTCCACTGTTTACCAGCTGAGATCTTATCCCATATCAATTCATTTAACCTGCCCAATGCCCTAGCTTTCTGATACTCATTTTGGCTACTTTATGTACTTTTCAATTACAGATTTTGTCTATTTTTATGTAAATTTTATAGTAACGAAAAGCCAGGGAATTGCAGAACCAACTACTTACACACTATACAAAAGACCCTGGCCTTCTGGCTGACAAGAGGATGTGGGTTTATCCTCTTGGATCCTTAAAGACACGAGGAGGTGGCCCTGCAGGTTGCAAAGACCCCTTCATCGTGTTTCTAAGGCTACCACTATCTCCTTTGCCTCAGGTAAACAATCATTATGAACACACATCATTACAATTAAGATAATTCGGAGGTGAGAGGTATCCGAGAACGGATTTATAAAAAGAACCCGCTCTAGCCCTTTTCTTTCTCTTAGCCTAAAAGTTCATAGCTTTCAAAATAATATTTATCCACCTTTAAAGCTCTAATTTAGCATATTGGCTATTGCACTAGCACTTCCACATGCGTTGTTGTGTTATTTGAAACTCTCTGCCTTTGCACGTGACGCCTTGAGCCAAGTGGAAGTTTTCATCTGAAACCAATTCACATCCTTTACTAAATAATAACAACTGTCAACAGTAAGAATGGCTAGAAGGTTACAGAGAGTTTCAATACAAAATTCTCCTGCTTTGTACTGAGCCATAGCATATGTGGGGGCGACAAGTACACATGGAACAAGGGTACAAGTATTCCACCCTTGCATATACTAGGCTTGGCAGTCAACAGACAAGGTCACAAGCACACCACCCATCTATATACCCGGTGTGGCAGTCAACCCTATATCGATTCTCAAGACAAACATAACAATTAATAGAAATAAATATAATCCATTTACAATAATGTAACAACACTCAGCCACTGCACCACTACAGTCTTCTTAATCCATCAAACAAGTCGAGAAAACTACAGCATTTTATCTTTTCAGGAACTTAAAGCTGGAATCCTTGGTTAATATCTACTTTACAAAAATTTAAGAAACATAACTATACTGATTAAAATAACATTTAGCTAACATGGAATTACTTACAAAATAATGAATGGGAGGGAAATATTATTCTCTAGAATCGGGACTTAGGGACCATATTCTTTAGTTTAGAATTGTGGTCATTGGTGTGTTGTAGAACACTCTTACGATATAACAATCTAGTTAGGCTCTCAACAAAATCATTCACTAATTCATACATGTGAGCATACGAATCTTCCACTATCATAGTTTGGCCTCTTGCATCCGTATCGTGTACTTAAGGCTTCTATGATCCCTGTTGGATTAGATAATGAGTTCGACTACTTTGCTCTTAGGTGGAGGACTTGTTAGTCAACACTCGTCAGACTGTTCATTCACAGAGCTTAAAACACTTGCAAACAGACGTCCACAGTGTGTAGCGTCTCAGCAAAGTTAAAAATAGCTTGAAAATTCGCTTTCAACAGCCTAAGAGTACGCCATGAGAATGAATCTAGTGAGAAACCACGTCGTGGAGATGTTGTATGTTATTAAGTTTTTGGGGGTCTAGTTTTGGAGGAGTCAAAAGTCTGTTTGGTTTGCTTCTCGGAATACCAGCTGTGAGTTAGAGGAATTGTTGCACAGGAAAATTGAAGCAACTCTTTCCATATGGTCGCAGTATCTAGCATAGAATAGCCTATGCGGATCTCATATTGAATTGTAACTGGTGGTTGTCTATTGTATTTGGAACAGTTTACCGGTGTTGGGTTTATTATGCTTTAGGAAAAAATGGAACATCTTCGTTCACTGTTTGAAGTTGGTGGTAGAGGTTTATACGAGCTCTAGTTATAAGTCGAGCACACGAGAAACCAGGTGGCCCAGCTCCTGAAGTGCCGTTTGGTCATGTCCACACCCCGTACCTCAACTCTCTCGCTCTCTGGGGGGTCCAGGGACTCTACAACCACTACTACCTGGCGTAAGATTGCTCAGATGAGGTGAAGATTTGCATTTATAATTCTCTATCGCAACCATTCGCCAGTGAAATAGAGGAGCTTTGATTCCATAATTTGGATTTTCGCTCGAAATCCTTCAAAATTTACTGGCCAATTATGTGAACCATTTGGCTTACTGTTTTTAGCATGTTAAAAAGCAAATAATGATTTAGGATTACACCTCACACGTTGAAGGTGTTGTCAAGTAGGGTAAACAAGGTGTCATCGACGTGCCCTCCAGAGTGTTGAGAGGAATGAGGAATGGGGATGGTGGGCGGAGCGTCTGCGGGAGGTGTGGACGTGAGAGTGGTTGGTTGGGCGTGCAAGTCATTGGTTGTGGTGGGCGTGAAGTGGAGATTTTTGTTTAAATAAGCAGCAGCAGCACGCCCTTGTGGGTAGCAAACACCATAACGTTAAGTCGCGGCTTTTGTATCTCCGGTTCCTCCTGCCGTTGAAGACGACGAGGATGACGAGGAAGCGTTGGAGGCTGAAGCTGGCTGGCTGCTGCCTGTTGACGGTTGTTGCTCCTTGTTGGTTTTCTTGTCATCCTGTTGTTGCTTGAGCTTATCCTGCTCCTCCCTCTCTCGTCGCACCTGCTCGTTGATTTCTTTCACCGCCCGTAGTTCCTTTTTCAGCTTCATACGTCGGTTTTGGAACCAAATTTTCACCTGTGAAAACAAGGGGAGTTAGACAAAAGTTTCAAACAGAGTGAATCTTCCTTCACACTGGTAAAAAGTTGCGCCACTTGAGTTTTCAAGGTAGTCATTAGGTATCATAAATGTATCGTGCATATAACCAGATTTGATATAAAATATATCAAGAAAATATATGGGAAGAAATATTCTAAGGAAAAATATATGCAAACGAGGATTTGACTTTAAAAAAAAAAAATGTGTGCATTTAGTAATAGTAACTCGAAACTTCAACCATATGTGCGCGTCTTCAAAGATGCTGTACGTATAAACCACAAGTGCACGTGTTACAAGCAGCTGAACATTTATGTCATACATGTACGTGTTAAAAGTGAATATTTTAACCATGTTTACACATGTTAAAAAAAGAGCTGTATTTGTCAGTGAAACCAAATTCTCAGTAAAATGTTTGGACATGAACGTAGGAAAGACATGAATTAAACAACATCCTTAACCATTATGAAACAATGTAATACAAACTGCCTGAACTTGAAATAAAACTTAAATAAACAAGACTGAGGAAGATAAACGACAATTATTTTCTGCTACAATCATAATAAATCAATCAGAGAAGAATTTGTCTGTGAGTTATACTTCACAGAAACACTTTTTTTCCACGACAATGCATTCTGTTGCAAATTGCAAGGAAATTATTGAAAATGGCTGTATTTATACCTACTAGTCACCCAATAACTTGTTTATGTAAATATTGCACATACTACTCTGGGCGTAATAGAGATATTCATACAGATAATTATCTCTGGCAGTCAGTCCCTGATGCGGTCGTCAGCCAGGGGTCGATGCAAGAATATTCAGTGGCTGGTTTTCTGCTGATAGCATACACTAGCCCTTTTGATGACCGCTTGCGCCCCGGGAATACTACCACATGAGCTGTTACCCCTCTCACTCGTTCATTTCCCCTCCCTCCTCCTCTCCCCTACCCTTCTGTGTTTCCTTTCTCCTCACTCCTCTGTTATGTGTTGATGTGTGAAGGTTTAGTATTCCGAGTAGGTTAGTGAAACTCAAGAAGTATATTACTGACCCTTACAGTCTGACATTTTTCTAATTTTGCTTTCCACCTCCTTCTCCCCTCTCTCTCCCTCCCCCTCCCCACCACCCTCTCTCTCTCTCTCTCTCTCTCTCTCCTCTCCTCTCTCTCTCTCTCTCTCTCTCTCTCTCTCTCTCTCTCATATTATGTTCTTTCCTGTAAAATTAAAATTTTGTTTAATGAAATATTACGTTGTCATAGATATTCATCTTTAGCTGAGGAAAGGCATATATACATAAACATATACATATATAATATATACAAAATATATACATAATATACACATAAATACACACATAATTATACAAGTAAGAATAATTATATGGATGAATAATTATGACTTAAACATAAACTGACATTTTCAATACTATTGTGCATAATTTCTGTACTTAATGTTGTCCAATAAGTCAATGATTTATACACTAATTGAAAAATAATAAATTATAGAAAATATCGCGACAAATTATTAAATAACACATTAAGAGGATTTAATACCACTATTAGGGGGTATTTGATCTCACTATCTAGACTCTAGAGGGCAACTGATATCACAAGACGCCATGTCATATCAATATTAAGAGTGTATTTACACCCTTATTTAGAGGGCATTTGATACCACTGCTAAGAAAGGTATTAAATATAACTAGTAAGAAGTTATCTGATGACACTATGAGTGGTACTATAGTGGAAATAAGACTCTGATGCCACTATGGCACAATACTGTAACTTTCAAAGATATACTAGGACTTGAAGCAACAAGAAGCAACAAATTATTATTATTATTATTATTATTATTATTATTATTATTATTATTATTATTGCTGTTGTTGTTGTTGTTGTTGTTGTTGTTGTTATTGCTGTTATTATTATTATTATTAGAGATATTCACGAGGATGCAAAATACAGTCAATGAATTTTATCTGTGGAAAGGGATGATAATTCCAATTGATTGGATCAAGAGCACTTCACGAGCATCAGGACAATCATGAGGTATCACACAAGGGTCAAATAAATAGTTATTTTATGTAATAACGAAGTTACTCCCATACAATATATGGTTATATGTGTTTTTATTGATAGAGGAAAAATGTGTGACATTTTAAACGAGGAAATGCCAGTTAGAAGAATTTGAAAAAGCCGGAGCTGGAGTTTCAGTCGAAATGCTGTCACTGGTAAGGAGCTTATTAAAGCAAAACAAGTCTTTATTAAACACCATTTTGCTCAAAGACTACCTAGCAAAAGCCACCAAAATAAAGCTCATCATAGAGGGAATGTTGTGTTGCAAAGTCTTGTTCTGTTATGATAATGTTGCTTTTCTACAATTAAGTCTTCATCTGCTATAATCAAGTCTTGCTCTGCTACTAGTAGCATTGTATTACCTTTCAGCTTAGGAGCCTATTGAAGCCACAGAAGAACATAGCCAAAATGAGATGAACAGGCACATACATACAAGTGACCTGAGGTCCAGAGGCCCAGTGTGGATAACTAACCAGACCTGGGTTCGAGTCCCAGGCAGGACGATTCTCTTTCACCTTGAGCCCCTGTTCACCTAACAGTGAACAGAGATACCTGAAGGTTAGTCGACTGCTATAGGTCGTATCCTGAGGGGAAGAAAGAATATTCAAAGAATGTTAATGAAGAGGGACACTTTAAACATTATTCTGTCCGTGTAAAGAAGCATAAGCAATCGCTAACAAGTACATAGAAACGTAAAAATAACACATATATGGCTTGGTACCACAGAAATACTTCACATTTTCTCATAACAGTTCCATGAAACACCCTGAGATACATAACTCTGACACTCGCTTTAGTACACACCAAACATAACAGCTCAAATTCCCCATCAGATGCAATGCAACTCCCATACCACATGATGCATAGCGATACCTGGTGCATTCCTCTTTCACTTACTGAACCAAAAATGTAGTAGAGGTAGGAAGTAAAGAGGAAGAGAATGACGGAAAGGAAAAAGGAAATAGAGAAGGAGAAAGATTTAAAGATGAAAGATGAGAATTAGAAGAAATAAGTACGGAGATTACTGCATAATTCTCATCTTGTAAAGAAAATAGAGGAAAAGACAGCTTGATAATACGTAAATCTTGCTGATTGGGTAGCTGATTTGCCCTACTTTTTTGAGGGTGGATGAAAAAGAGGAAAGTGAGGAAAGGGGAGGGGAGGAAGAAGAGGGAAGAGAGGAAAGGGGAATGGAGGAAGAGAAGAGAGAAGTGAGAATAATGGAGGGGAGGAAGAAGGGGGTTTGACTTTACTTGTGGGAGTAGATAGGTGAGGCAAGAGCACTAGGTGGAATGGAGGGACTTGAGATGGAGGAGGGGGAGAAAGGGAGAAGGCGGAGGAGGAGAGTTAGAGGTGCAGTGGGGACGGGGAGGAGGACGAGGAGGAGGAGGAGGAGGCGAAAGAAGAATTGAGTGGATGAGGGTGAAGAGGAGAGTGATGGAGGTGGAGGAGGGAGGAAGGGGATGTGGGAGGAGGGGGGTTTAAAACCTCAGCCCGAGCCCACGTTAAAAGTTACCTGGCCAAAAATCAGACTGCCAATTACGATCCAATAAGATTTGCAGCAAATTATAGGACAGTTTGAGTTAGCTGAGATGGGGCGGGCCTCGTTTAGTAGACCCACGGGCGGGCTGACCACCGCTGGCACCATCACAGCGTCAAAGAGGCTTCCGGGTCAGAGGGCACCCCAAGGAGGGCTTTTTCTGACGCCTTGAAGCCCCCAGCGGTCCCGAAAGACGTCGGCTACGAGGATGCTAAGTCGAGTGCCCACGACATGTGATTGATGCACGACCCACAGCCTTCTTGAGGAGGCGGTGCTGGAAGCCTCACCGACCAACAAAGTCGACGGTCACAGGCATCGATCATGGTAACATAGACTCTATGGGATGGTGACGCTTGATTCTCTTGTCATTATTTCCCTGTTCTTTCCTCCTCATCCTCCTCTTCTTTCTTCGTCTTTATTCATATTCCAGCACCTCACACTGAGTGCGTGTGAACATTTTTACTACATTTAGATTCGTCCCTAATCATTACTTTCTAGTGGTTCTTAGTAATTCTTATCACTATAATAATTCCTTTCGCATTCTCACGAGAAAGTATGTTGGAATCCTTTCCCCGTAGCCATGTGTGTTATAGATAGCGACTTAAATGCCGGAACAACGGACTGGTTACCCTTCTTATCTTTATATAATTGCTACAAAGAAGTGAACTGGTAAGATATATTTCATTTAATTCTATAGCAAACAAGGAAATATCTCTTTAGGGAGATCTTAAAGCTAAAGTGAGAGACATTGTTGTGGACTTGGAAGAAGAAAAGTTTGAAGTGCCAGGGGCAAAACGATAATTAATTATTAAGACCATTTAACTGAACTGTCTATAAAAATATGAGACGAGGATAAACAAATCCACGAGATATGATAAAGTGTGCAGTGATAGAAGAGATTTCTACAATATATTAGTGGATGAAAATTTAAAGAGGAGATTTTTGGATGTGCATGGATTTTTAGGAGCAACTGAATTTCTACCTGATCATTATTACTAGCAGATGATGATTCACAAAGATGTTAGTGATGGTGGGTAAAACTGAAGAGAAAGTGAATAAATTGAAGGGGATGTTTATTGAGAGGTGTGAGAAACTCATGAAAAAAGGGTTGATTAGAGTTAGAGAAGTGATAAAGTTCTCTGAAGAAGTGTGGAACAGAGGAGGGTGGATAAAGGAGATAATGACGAAACGAAGAGAGAAGAAAGGGAGTAAAGCTTAGCAGAGTATGTAGGAGTGAATATAATTTTTTTTTTTTTTTTAGTGAAATGATCTTTAGGCTATAGGCACATTTGAACGAATTATCATATGACGACTCCAAAAATTCCTCGAACGAAGTTTGCCATTAAATGAAATAAAAAAAAATAAATTGTA